AGCTAGATCCTCCCTTCACGAAGTAATGCCTGACGGCGGTTTCCATGAGGGATTAGAGGAAAGAGGAAAGGGGTTTAGGGTTTAGTGGGTAGGGGGCGTTAGCGTCGAGTTTAGTATGACGCTGCGTCGAGTCGCCACATATCCAGGCCAACAACTATAGCCTAGAATCCGTAAAAAGGAATTACCCCCCCTAACGGAAAAAAAAAAAAAAAAAAAAAACATCCATACATACATACATACAGACATACAGACACAATCGCGGGAATAGTCAGGGAAGCTTCCTAGGACCTCAAAACATTGAGATCTGATGAAAACTCGATTTTCGAAAAACGGGGTAAAAACAATAACTTCCCGATTTTTGAAAATTTTCAATTTTCTTAGCGGGAAGTTAAAAATTACACAATAATGTCTGTGCATACCCTTTGATTGAAAAATTAAAAATTTTTAATGTTTTCAGTGATTGTGATTTTAATCAATAATTAGGAATCTATTAAACTTTACGCAGATTTATTTAAGGTTATCTATATGAAAATTAATTTGAATAAATGTACTTACTTTATTGCAAAGAATCAGAAGAAATTGTACAGTATCTAACTGATAAGGAGATAATGCAAATGTCAGTGTATCGTTAAATTCACCTTCCGACATTGCATGTAATACTTTTGTTTTTTTTTTACGAATTTTACGGCCAGTTTTTCCATGAAGCATTAATACTCGTACATACAAATCTGTAATCAACGAGTATCATATGTATAACAACATCATCTTGGGTGGCAAGAGATTAAACAAAACAATTTCAGATGAGGACTATCATCACTCTGGTCTAAAGTCTTGTTTTATCCCGTGTCGCACACTATATTTCTTATATTTTTTGTATTAAGCGTTATAGTTTCAATTCCAGAGTCAGTGGAAATAAGACAATTCAAGATTTATAGCACAATTTTCCATTGTCATCGTAATGTTAAAGCTTTAAATTTTATTACAAGTGATGCGAATATAAATATTAATAACTATAGATATCTTTAAAATTTTTAAGTAATTTGCTGTAACTTCGATGTAGTTTTTGTAGTAATAGAAATGATTAGATTTCGTAATTAATCAAAATAGTCACTTAGAAATTGTAAAAAAAAAAAAAAAAAAAAAAAAAAAAAAAAAAACACTCTTTTGAGAATTTTATACTTGAGATTTCTCGAAGTATATCAGAACATTTCAATTGACTGAAACTCTTTTAACTACAACAAACCGCGTGCTAATCACTCAATTCGTTTAAGAGTGGTGGAAAATTTTAAAACGTCGACATCTGGTAAAAAAAAATCTGTTTTTGAAAACCGAACTGAAATTAATAAGCTTAGCTTTTTTAAAATCAATAATGAAATTAAAAAAATTTTGTTTTTGCGGAGAACTAAGAAAATGTAGCACGAAATAATCATGCACAGAAAAGCAAATTAAATTGAATCAAGTGAAAAATTCTTGAACCAAGAAAATAATTTTGAAAAGTTTAATTGTCCTGAATCAAGACGAAATAGTATATTACACACCTAGGGAAGTAAAGTAAGAAATATCTCAGATGACATGTAATTGTTGGCCGAAGCGAAGCCAAGATTATTCCTGCAATAGTGTTTGTATGTCTGTGTGTGTTAAAAACAAATCATAAGATTTGAAAAACTGTGTCGATTACTGCCAACCGCGCGAAAATCGGTTAATTCATTCAAAAGTAATTGCAGTTTGAAAATTTAAAGAATAGTGTTTTTTTATCAAACTTCCATCAGACTTTTGAGCTCGAAGAGCTTAAAAGCATAGAACAGCTAACTCTTTGAGCTTGAAGAGCTTAAAATATTACATAAATTATATTATTGAGTTCGGAGAGCTCAAAAACGTCATAGGTGCAATTTTAAGCGCTTAGGTATGGAATTAGCGGGAAGTTGCAGGGATGGCCTTTAGGGTCAACCGTTTTCCTAATTTTGTTTTTCTGTGTGCATACATGTAATTTAAACTAATGGTATGGACAACAAATAACTTTAATTATATTTATGTATTAGTTAACAGTTTGAAAACACATACTTAACTTAGTTGATAAATTAGTGGTCGGCAAATAATTCAAATTTCGTAATTTCACAACAGTTATCGATAAACGTTCGGCGGTTGGTAAATAATTTATCGCTAGCAGAATATTTCCAAATTCCTGAAAATTCAATTTCAAAGAAAACGGTCCCCTTTATCTTCTTCTTTATTATTATTATATTTATTATTAAGAATTTAAACAGTACCTGATTAGATCGTTTCATTCTATAATTAAATATGTGTTTTTCTGGGTTTGTGAATATTTTGTTAACGTTCTTGAATGGAATTTGAAGAGTTGACAATTCAGTGTGATTAGCATATCTATCGTGATCAAAAACCGATAGCGATAAAGACCAATCCTGAAAGAATGTAATAATTATAATAATAAAATAGTAAGCACTTATATTTTTTCATAAGTACCTTCATAATATATGGACTAGCATCCGCGATAATAAACGTTTCTCGATATACCGGATTAACAGTGTGTCGAATACCACGTGTTCTAAAATTATGAAGTACAGTTTTTTCTTTTTTAGTCCAAGACTGCTTAACGATCTTAACAACGACATAAGGTTCTATTGCACAGTTGTATTGCTTAGGTGGAAGATTAAATAAAGCCTATAGGCAATTTATTACAATTAAATTATAATTCCATTATAGTAATAGAGTTCATCAAATTACAACCTCAATGCCAATGATAAGTTTTCCTTCTGTGCTCCTAGGCTCATCAATCGTTGGCAAAAATTGAAGACTCAAAGTTAATTCAGTTGGAAATTCTTTTACTTTCTTTGTTTGTTTTTGATTACTGGAATCTACAAAATTCTAAAAAATAAAAACTATTTAATGATAATTTATACAACCGATCGTCATGCTTATCCCAAACAAAAATTTATTACTTACCAACGACGATAACGTTTTTTTCGAATCTAATTCTGCACAGTTAGAACCAAAAGACTCTCTCAATGATTCTCCATTTCTGTAAATACTTTCATTATCATAAAGACTTCCCAGACGCCAAGATCGATAACTTATATCACCTAATTTGATATTTCCATGTTGCTGTTCGACTTGGCTCATAGAAATTGTTTTATTTTCTTCGTTTTCTAAATGCAATAATTCATTTATAAGCGGTTACAATTCAAAGGTTATAAGTTATGAGTAAAAGCCAAAACTTCTTGTATAACGTGACTACTATATGTGGATTTAGAATTGAGCTCTGTCTTTAAGAACGTGTTATGTACACAAAAAAATTAGGAAAACGGTTGACCCTAAAGGCCATCCCTGCAACTTCCCGCTTATTCCATACTTCCATTCATAATAGGCGCTTAAAATTGCACTTATGACGTTTTTGAGCTCTTCGAACTCAAAAATACAATTTCTGTGTTATTTTGAGCACTCTGAGCTCAAAGAGATAACTTTTTTATGCTTTTGAGCTCTTCGAGCTCGAAAGTCTGATGGAAGTTTGATAAAACACTATTTTTTGAATGTTCAAACCGCAATAACTTTTGAATGAATGAACCGATTTTCACGCAGTTGGCGGCATTCGACGCAGTTTTTTAAGCTTCACAAAGAATCTTAACGTTTAAATACTGTTTGAAACTGTAATTTTTTAAGATGAAAGAGTCGTTATTTACTATAGTGACAGCTACTAATCACTTATTTTGGATATTAAATTATAAATTGTGGCTTTTATACTTTTTACATTAAGTTCTGTAATATTTATATTTTTGCGACCCCGATGTCCGCTTTACTGTTTGAAACTATAAAAATTAACCGGAATCCGAGTAAATATTACAGTTTACTTTTTTCCGTGCAATGATTACTCGTTCCTAGGCCGAGACCAGGCAACGAAGCCTTGGCCGGCCCAATCATTATCCGAGCTTTTGGACCAACACTGGTTCGCCATAGAATGGCCGAGGCAAAAGAACCCAGCGTTGGGCCAAGATGGTTTGCCATAGAATAGTCAAGGCAAGAGAACCCAGTGTTGGGCCAACACTGATTTGCCATAGAATAGCCAAGGAAAGAGTACCCAGTGTTGGGCCAAGACTAGTTTGCCATAGAATGGCCGCGGCAAAAGAACCCAGTCTTGGGCCAAGACTGGGCAACCATGGCCGGCCCAATGATTACCCGAGCCTGGGCCAAGGCTGGAAAGCCTGGCCATGGCCGTTGAATGGCAACCCATACTTGAGCCAGAATTGAGTAACCTATAGCCTTGGCCATTCAATGGGAAATCCAAACTTAATTTATCATTAAATAATAGAATTTTAAACAGTAAATATTTATTGTTTAACGAATATTTGTAAGCAAATGCGAAAATTGATAATTTATTATTTAACCAAAACAATTGCATATCGTCAAAGTTGCATATGGTCTTAAAAAAATTAAAATATAATAATTTACAGTTGAATTTTTGACGTGATAACGTCTTATAAATTGATGAATACCAGCAACACTCATGAAAAATAGTAACGTTCCATAGTAACGTTCCACCTGAACCTGTGCGTGTAAGCGAGAGCGCGCAACAAACAATAGAGAGGCACGATAAAACAAACGATAGAGAGGCCTAAGCGTTGGCTTGTGACACATATATGTAGCGGCTCTGTGTAGAGCGATCTACGAATATTATGTGCGTTTGTGTTTTGACTGTGTAGTCAGAGAGTTGGAAGAAGGGGAAAGGTAGAAAAGGTATTTGTGTGGGTAAGGCGTTTCGTGTAGACAGTGACACACACTCATCAGCTAGGTCTCTAGTGTCACTGCCTCGGCCCAGGACGCCTGTGGAGTAGGAGATGGAAATTGTTATATATTAAAACAGGCGTGAGGACGAACGCTTGCGAGAGGCAATGATGTTAGTGCCATCTCGCAGCTCAGAGCCGAACCCTATATATATCTCTCATCTCGCGTGACAGAGCTAATAGTTCAAATATTGTTCTATAACTAATTGTTCGTTAATATTTAAACAAATTACTTCAATTAAATTTGCAAAAACTGTAAATAATATTTGAAAATTAAAAATTAATGTTTTTAACCAGTTTTAAAAATATTTATGTCAAATTATATGAAATTATTATTATTATTGATAAATTAATAATTTATCCTCCGTTAGGCATTACTTCGTGGGGGGAGGATATAGCGACTGCTCTTCCTTCTGGTAACTAAGGTATTATTTTACCTTTCTTCTAGTTGTTGTCATTTGCTCTTTTTCTTTCGATGGAACGCAAGTCTATAAGGACTTCTGTTGCAAACGTGTTTGCGGCGTTCCAGGCAGCCTCTGATGACAGCATTGCTTCTACTATTGTCTCTGGTTGGATTTTGTTCTTCAGGATCATCTCCAGCTCATCTCGCTGTGGGTAAAATCGTGGGCACTCAAAGAAAACGTGTTCCGCGTCTTCATTGATTCCTAGGCATGACGGGCATTCCGGTGAATCATCATGCTTGAAGCGGTGAAGATACGTCCGAAAACATCTATGTCCTGACAACATCTGCGTCAGATAGTAATTGACCTCGCCATGACTCCGGTTTAGCCAAACGTCGATCTTCGGTATGAGACGGTGTGTCCATCTTCCTGTTGTCGCGGCGTCCCACTGCGATTGCCATCGTGCGATGCTGTTCTGCCGTTCTTCAGCTCTGAGTTCCTCGGCACTTAGTGTGGTTGACCTCTTTCGTTGGTAAAGGTTCCGTCTTTCCTCAGCTAGAACTCTGAGCGGCAAAGTTCCGGAAATGACACACACTGCTACTTCTGATATCGTGCGGAATCCACTGGCTAGTCTTATAGCGCTCAGTCGATATACTGGTCCAGCTTTTCTCCATGATTCTTGCAACTTCAGCACATCTGCCCAAATGGATATTCCATATGTGAGCACCGATGTGACAACTGATGATAGTAGTAGTCTTCTGCTCTGCTTTGGGCCTCCGACGTTCGGCATCAGTCGTGCGAGACTAGCCCTCACTACTGACGCTTTGGCACTGACGTGTTCCACTTGCTGTTTAAAGTTGAGACGGGCATCAAGCATCACTCCCAAATATCGGATATAAAGTTGTGATGTGATTTCTTGTTCGCCGACTTTCAGCTTGACGGTCTATAACACTTTTCTGCTGGATATAAGCACTGCCTCAGTTTTGTGTGTAGCCAGATGCAGGTTTACCGTATTCATCCACCGATGGACTCGCTCGAAGGTGATGTCGAACATGTTGTTAATCTAGTCAAGGTGTTTAGCGACGATTACTACTGTGTGTGTGTGTGTGTGTGTGTGTGTGTGTGTGTGTGTGTGTGTGTGTGTGTGTGTGTGTGTGTGTGTGTAACTAAATATTTAAACTTTTGAACCAATGCTGATTTTGAGCCTTATTCGACTAAATATGAGATAAAATGACAAAATTCCGTGTGAATTCCGACAAAAGGGCCAATGCAATAGATAGATTTCTACGAAATCAACCTAAAAACTTTTTGAAAACAAATTGAAAATATTTTTTTAAAATAAATTAGAAAAAATGCAATAATTTTTTGTTCCACTGTACCCAAACATGCTTAGGACTGAAAAAAAACTGGAAATAAAGTTTAAAACATTTCTTCATTCATAGAAACTCAAGTTGGCTAGATTTTTTTTTTCAAAATAGTAAATACCGAGATATAAATTTTCTCTCTAATCATAAGAAAAAAATAAATAACTGAGGGACGGAGGACTTTCCTATTAAAATTAAGAGCTCATACTTGGAGAGAATTAATCTGAGTTGTCTACCAATCTATTTTTCAGAGTATAAAGTTAAAAAGAAAATTAGGATGACGGTTGACCCTAAAGGCCATCCCTGCAACTTCCCGCCAATTCCACACCTAAACACTTGAAATTGCACTTATGACGTTTCTGAGCTCTTCGAGCTCAAAAATACA